CTCTGGTCCAATCACACCTAGCCAATAAAGAATTCTATTCTACTCTGATCACTGCATAAGTGAGAAGTACTAATCAACTAGAGCTTGTTATCTTGCAATTAGCACTTATTAGCATAGCAAAAGCTACTCAGGAAAAGATACTTACAGATACTCCAAAGAGCAGGCAATATTTGATTTTAAGGCTATGCCTTCTGGATGAAGGACATCAGATTAAAAGGGAAGACATGTCCTCGTTTTGCTGGATATTTGGTAATCGTAACCAGTCAGACTTAGCACTATTTTTAAAACCAAAATAAACTTCAACTATATTCAGAAAGCAGGAAGAAATTACTCTTCTAGACCTGCCCATGTATTTTATATAATATACACTCATTCTACTTTGTAATATCAAATTTCCATTATAGACTTCTAATATCTGATATGTAGAACACCCACATACCAACAATTTGCCCAGTCCTGTACTGTACTACATTTTTCAGAATTTAGTCACAGTTCCAGTTCTTGCCTTGTATAGACATATATTATATGACATATATTAATTCCAGCAGCCAAATTGTACATTTAACCTTACCTTAGTGAAACTGAATAGATACCATTATGTTTGTTCCTTAAACAGCAGAATATTCATGGATTTCCAAACGATCATAGCAACAACAACAAAGTGTCTGCATATTACTTTTACAAGTGCAATACAGTATAAATATCTTAGACATACCTAGTGTTTGGGAAACTGTTTCTATCAAGTTACGGAGGAAGCCTTTGCTCAGGTTTCAAAAAGGATATTCCTCTGATGATCCAGCTGTTTCCCAGATGTCTAATCTCCCCAACCTATTTGAGCAGGAAAGTCAGTTTCCTGTAGCAACTTCCAGGATAGAATGCTTCAGGATGTCATGATTCAAAACAAAAATTCTAAAAAGGAGATTCTGCTCTCTTTAAAACAAATAGCTAAAGAATTGTGTGCAATTCACCAGGAGCGAGAAGAGAAGAATCTAAAAGAACTCTATTAGAAGGATGAACAGAAAGATATTAATTTAAACATACTTAATTAAAAAAAAACTAGGTACCATTCTAGTTCAGAGTGCTTTGACCAGTTATTTGAACTATAGGAAGCCTGTGACATTTATTTATCTATATATTTATTTATTATATCATTTTTAAAAACTGCCCATCTTCCTCATAGATGAGACATTTACATGGACATTCTATATTAAGTTTATCATAGTTCTGTTTTTTTTAAAAAAAAATCTCAAAACACCAGCAGATCTTCATGCAATGATTGGCTTCAGATATTATTTATTATAGTTGTGTGCATTCTCTGAGTGTCAAAAAGTCTTCTCTATCTTAGTAATTCCCGGATGTCAGGGAATTAGGGGGGGAAAAAACCCTCCGCATATTTTCCACCATTTTGCTGATGGGAAATTTTGGTGGACTGCATTCCCAATATACTGTATCTAGAAGATCATAAACTGGGATAGTTGCCACAAAACCTTTATTAATGGCAACTACTTTTGCCCATATTTGGGGAAACTGGATTGTTTTTAATCTTAACTGAGGGCCTGAACATACTTAATTTAGCTATTGTCATTGAGAATCACAATTGGTGATTACATTTGGTATGTTACAAGACTGTATTTTTAAGCTGTATTAATTTTACTGCAGGCATTTTTTTAAAAGTGTGTTGCCAATTTTATGTTTAATGTTTAGTTTACAAGGAAGTTGATCCTAGATCTACATCTATTTTCTGCCTCAAAAAAATCCATGGGTTTTTCCAAAGTTGAAGATGGGTTTGAAGATACTTAGTTTTTATATTTTCAGAAATGAAAGTCTTACCATTGCTTGCAAGTTTCTATAGCCCAGTAACCTTAGGGCAACAGAATGCAATCTTAGACCACTACAGAAATAGAAAATTTAATCTGAATTATTACGCTTTCCCACAAACTTTAGTTTAACATGCTGTCAATGCAGATTTCAGCTTCCCCCTTTTTTGTAACGTTTTGGCTACCTGTATATTTGGTAGTTATTTAAAAAGGAAAGGTTTTCCAAGCTGTATAAGCAATTTGCATCTTCTAAATCCCTTGATTATAAAAACAGAATAGCCATGCCTTTCTCTGATTAACTTAGTAAATACTAAGTAAATATCAATTTTTATTATTATTTCACCATGTGTTTATTGCTTGCCCTAGCATGTGAATCTATTCATGTCAAGATTGTCAATTGAAGGCTATTTTTTTCTGATCATATACTGTAACTTTTACTCTATCTTCTCCCTTGTACATAACAGCACACACATTCTGGTCCTGATTTTAATATTAGTTCTGTTTTTGCTTTCAGAGATCTATTGCATATGCACAATTAATTCTCCCTTGTTCCAGAATAATTCAGTTAGAACAACATCTCATGAGTTCCTCATAATAACAAATGACATATTTTTAAAAGTCATATAAAATAGATGAAATAAGCTTCTTATAACTCTTTGCATGCCATTCCAGTAGCATGGAGGCACTTCTGCATAGCTTTATTCTATTTATTCTATTTTGTAGATGTATGCACTTGTATGATTAAGAATGATTAAATAAGAGATTATTAAATCTGAGCTGATCAGATGAACAAATGCATGAGAGAAACTTACACACCTGGTCAGCTCTTTGTGATCATGAATTCTGCATTGTCCTTGTCCACAAAAAGTGTCTCCTACTACAAGCCTATACTTAATGTAATTAATTAATGTGAAAAAATGTATAATTAATGTGAAAAAAAACCTTCATCCTTAACATGAAGGTTGATGAAAAAAATGCAATTTATTCTTTCAGACATCACTTCAATGTCTTCCATTGTAACTCTACATGGAGAAATTCCAGAAGATATCAAACCTCTACTAGCCAGGAAATGTAATGATGGGTGAAATATCATCACAGGAGTCGATGTTCATCTATTCCATGTAGCTGAATGATACAAAAAGAAGGCGAGGAAATCCTTGACAAACCATTAACAAAGAATTAAAAGATGTGTACTTTGCTATTTTAAATGAATGTTTGTAACTACAGCAGAAGCAATAATATGGTTTAGTGGTTTGGGACAAGTCTAGAGAAGAAATAGTTATTATTATGGATTTATTTAATTCAAAGGGAAGTATGAATATAAATCTAATGTACATGTATTATCATTTAATGGGTATTAATTATGCCTTTGTAAGCTTGAAAAACTCTGCTGCTTTTTACCATTAAGAATTTCAAACCGGAAATAACACTTAGCCATCCATTATATGCTTTTTGAGTGATCTGAGGGTATGAACTTCCTCTAGGACAAGAAGACCTAATGAGCAATAATTATTGCACATTACTATGGAATACAAAATAACTACTGATTTTGTGTGTGTGTGTGTGTGTGTGTGTGTGTGTGTGTGTTGTGTAAGATAAATATACCATTTCATATGTATTTCCACACTTGAGAATGCATATAGAAGAAAAGACTTTTAATATATCTTTTAGTCTTTTAATATATCATTCAGAATAGAGTCTTACTCCCTCTATTTTAAGATTAAGCTCATTCAATTTATTTGAATTTATTTCCCAGATAGTCATATAGATAATGTATTGATTAGTGATTTGACCATTTGGACTGTATTATTGTCCACTTTCTTATCATTGATACGAAAGTATCAGATTCATATAAAGAAGAAACCATGTTTAGCTCCATAGTAAAACATCTTCATAACTTCTACAAAGAGAAGTGGTGGTTTGATCAGCCTTGCTCCTTCTGTTAACAGGTTTTTTTTTCCTAAGGGCCAAATTCTACCAAGAAAGTTTTGAAGATAATTTTTAAAAATCTTCATCCTTAATCTCTCTTGAATATTTGTACATGGGGGGGGAAACACTGTTTGTGTTCTGGAGGTCCTGGAGAATGAAGGGCCAAGAAGCCAAGGCCGCAAAGAATAGCCAGCCTGACAGCATGATATATAAAAAGGCGAAATAGATACACGTGGCTTTCAAAAATTTCTCCTGTGCAACAAGCAGGGAACACATTTTTCTCCCACTCTCTCTTCCTCCCACTGCTTGTATCATTTCCCACTTCAAGACAGGTAATACAAAAATTTGAAATCACAAGGTGGGCATATTATCCAGGAGGAACTCTTAACAGCTTTTTTTTTTAAATTCAGCATATGAATGCTGCTATGCTCCCCCAATTTCCAATTCTCTTTTTGCTATTCTGCTTATCCAATAGAAACCTTCTGGGGATATGAGTAAAATGTGAGGGGGGGGGGGAAACAGGAGAGGGTTCTTATTGATTTTTTAGCTTGAAGTAATTATTTAAAAATGGGTCACCTTTCAATCCTATTCAGCAATAGAAGCCAGAACAACCAGGTAGGAAAGATATTTCTCCAGCCTCCTTAGGGTATCACCAAGTGTTTGGCTTCCTTCCTGACCAGGAGTTGGACAAGGTGAGACTGGATTCACACAGGGTCATTTCTCTGCAGATTTCTTTCTTGTTACAACCCTGATATATGTCACATCATTAATAGTAATAATTGCCTTGCTTACAGTGTTGCCTTACTACTATCAGTAAATAATTACACCAAAATCCTCCCTCCCTTCAGTGATGTTCTTTGCCAGCCTTGTGCTCTTTGAAACTAGTCATTTTAGGATTACCACTAAGAACATGCCATTGTACCATGAGCTAAATTAACATATAGCTAGCCATAAATACAACACACAGTTCTGCTGGATTTCCCTGAGAGATTACAGAGCACTTAATCCCATCTAAGCCACACATACTGAATGCAGATTTGATGCCAATTTCCTTCCAGGCATTGGTCAAGAGATGTAGATGTGGGCAGCATCAGCAACTTAAATCCTGTGTGCTCAAATCATCTAACATAGCCCAAAATCAATCTTTCCTCCCCCTCCCATGGAATAGCCCTATAAACCATTCCCAACAAAAAAATGCATGCCACAAATGATGTCTTCTAGCCTTAAGGGTCCAATAACCTGATGGCACCTTACCTGTTGACTGCATGCTCTCTTGGATTGCCTCGACTTCAGACAGGTCCATGCAAACACCTTGGCCGTGCATGAGTGTGTGCAAGGGCTTTTCCATTCCCCGCGGTGGGTAACACCGCAGCCCTGAACCGCAGCGAGATGTGTACACCCCACAGAGCATCCCTTTTGTTAAGGCGCACGTGGCACAACATCCACAGCCTGGTTCCTGCACCAGCTCCTCGCATCCAGAGGGTGTCCTGCAGCGTGCCAGCTTCTCCTCAGAGCATGGAGGGCACTGGATAGCCTCAAGGCTCACAGAAAAGCCCACCTGGGCTAGAAGCAGCAGGGCAACAGACACCCCATGGGAGGGCATGGTACGCAGTCTACGGTTCTGGAGAGTAAAGGGCCAAGAAGCAAAGGCTGCAAAGAATAGTCTTGCTGCCAGAGCAGACTGCCTGATCTCCAGCGAGGGGGACTCTGTACTGAAGGGGGGAGAAGCTCATTCTTTGGACTTTATACCACTCTCTGGCCACACCTCCCTGCTCTAGGGAGAAGCAGAGAAGGAACAGCACAGCAGCCACATAACTGAGGCAGCTTGCCCTAGAGCCGAGAAAAGACCTTATTTGCCCTGAGGAAGGAAGCACAAAGAGCCTGCCGCAGCTGCAAAGACTGAAACCTGTGCTAGGAATGGAAAACAGCAACAGCCCTTCCACCATGCTTCCCCTGTTACTTTAGTAAGTTATGAGTGAGGGCACTTCCCCAGTAGATTTCTCACAAACTCTTTTGTTACATGTACTACAGCATGTGGTACAAAAAGCACAACTCATCCAGGGCTCTGCTTTTCAGCCAACCCTCCAAGGTGAGGTTATCCTCTGTTCCCTTCAGCAATAGAAAAGCTGAGATATTCTGCCTTTGACTTTGGAAGTTCCAGCTGAAAGACTGCACTGCATGTTTCATGAATGGTCTAAAGTTCCTTTTCAGAAACTTAGGGGGGTGTCCATTACCTGCTTTTATACCAAATGCATTTCTTTTGTGATTCACTAGGAACAAGGAAAAGTAGATACACATTTCTCTCACCCTTTTGCATTTCTTTGCTTGAGCAGAAAGTCACACCCCAAAATGTGAGGTTTTGGAATATGCTCAAAAATGTGTCTGGAACTTCTCCACATTCCTTGCAGAAAGATGCACAGGTTCCCTCTACTATATAGGCATTCCAAGAGAAGGAGTGGGGGGGGATAGACAGTCCTAGCATGTGTATGCCACATTGCCACAATATCTAAAGATACCTAGGAGGGACGCTAAAAAAATATTTACTTTGGTTTGTCTCTCACCTCACAGGTTGAGAACTAGTGGAGAAAATAAATTAGATAAATAGCAGTCTCAGTAGTCAGTCCTTCCTCCCTCCCTCCCTCCCTCCCTCCCTCCCTCCCTCCCTCCCTTCCTTCCTTCCTTCCTTCCTTCCTTCCTTCCTTCCTTCCTTCCT